GTTTCTTTTCTGATTTCCACCAGCAGCACAAATTCTAGGTCAGTTAAGTACCATCAGTTTCAAATTTCAAAATTCTACTTAATCTCCAAGGCCTGGCTCACATGCTACTCTCTTATGAAGACCTTTCTACCTGGATAGCAATAAACACTTGGTCCTCTGCATTTCTGTATCACTTTGTTTGTAGCTCTCTTTTAACACATTTTACATTCTTAAAACCCACCTGCCACATTGAAAAAAAAATGTAAGCAGGAATTATGTTTTTCACTCATTCACAGAACTATGTTTTGCACTTATTTACTTATTTAATATTATTATTAAATACTTTCCCTCACACATGGTTGGCACTTAACAAATAATTATGGATTCTGTATGAGTTGTCAATAGAAAGGTATGGATAACTAGACCATAGAAGAGACACAATGTATAAACACTGGTGGAGCAAATGAAGTTTTTATCTTCTGTATAGCATTTTGGCAGACCTTAAAATGTTTGAAGCAATGTGAAAGCAAAGAGTCTCACCTGGATGCATCCTTCATCAATCTTGCCCCTTTTAGGATTGATTTTAAAATGCGCTGTTTTTTGGAAGTGATATGTCACAGGGAGTGATTTGGTTCGATTCTGCATAATGCACAGAACCTCTGAATGCTCACCCATGACACAAGGTGGAAAATTAAGGACCTTCCCAGGATCAAACTGTAATGCAACAGGAAGTCCTGAGCCTGTCAATGCTAATTCCACTTTCTGAAATCGTTCATCTGTAAAACAAGAATAACTGTTGAATATTAAATATATATATATAGAGAGAGAGAGAGAGAGAGAATCCAGAACACATTTTCTCAGACCAAATAGTATCATCTGAAAGACGTAATGAGACTTGGGTAGCTCATTCAATCTTTCATTCAACAAATATTGAGCACCTTCTTTGTGTCAGATACTCTTCTAGGCCTTGGGTATACAACAGTGAATAAAACAATGCCTCTGCTCTAGCAGATTTTACAACAAATAAATAAGTAAATATATTACATTTCAGAATGAATAAGTGCTAGAGGAAAAGTAAAGTAGGGTAAGACAGTGTCTTAGTCATGTAGTGCTGCTATAACGAAATACCACAAGTGGATGGTTTTAATGAAGAGAAGTTTATTTCCTCACAGTTAAGGAGGCTAGAAGTCCAAATTCAGGGCATCAGCTCCAGGGGAAGGCTTTCTCTCTCATGAATGTTCCACAGGACTAGGAGCTTCTCCGAGGAGGGACCCTGGGTCAAAAGGACATGCTCTGCTCCTGGCACTGCTTTCTTGATGGTATGAGGTCCCCTACTCTCTGCTTGCTTCCCTTTCCTTTTATCTCTTGAGAGATAAAAGGTGGCACAGGCCACACCCCAGGGAAACTCCCCTTACACTGGATCAGGGATGTGACCTGGGTAAAGGTGGTGTTACAATCCCACCCTAATCCTCTTTAACATAAAATTACACTCACAAAATGGAGGCCAACCACACAATTCTGGGAATCATGGCCCAGCCAAATTGATACACACATTTTTTGAGGGACATAATTCAAACCATGACAGACAGATCAAACGCAAGGTCATGTGGCTGCTATTTTATATAGGAAAGTCCGAAAAGGCCTCTCTGATAGGGAGACATTTGAGCATAGCTATAAAGGAAGTCTGGAAGAAAGTCATGTGAAAATCTAGGGAAAGAGTATTCCAGTCAAAGAAAACAGCAAGTGCAAAGACTCTAAGGTAGGAACTTGCATAACATGTTCAAGACACACGAAGGAACCCAAAATGCCTGGGGGAGGGAGAGTAGTAGAAGAATGAGTTCAGCGTAATATGTGGCCAGATCATGTAGAAGCTTGAAGTCTGTTGAAAAGGTCCTAACTCTGAGTGAGACAGGAAACCATTGGAAGCTTTTGAGGGGATGGAGGTGGGGGGCAGGTGGGATATTATCAAACTTAACATTTTAAAAAATCATCTTGGCTGCTGAGTTGAGATTAGATTGCAGTGGGACAAGGGCAAAAGCAGATAAACTAGTTAACAGGCTACTGAAATAATCCAGGAAAAATAATATGGAGGTTTGAACTGGGGTGATAGAAGGAAAGATGATGAGAAATGGTTAGATTCGATATATTTTTTAAAGTAGAGTTAACAAAATATGTCAAGAGACTGAATGTAGGATATAAATTCAAGTAAGGTTTTTGGAGTGAGCAACTGAAAGAACAAAATTGCCATTTTTTGAGACAGGAAAGACTTCAAGAGGAACAGGTTGTACGGAAACGAGGAGTTCTAAATCTTAACTAGTAAAAATATTGTGTAAATTATTCTGAGGTTGACTTATTTCTTAACATGCCACAAACGACATTTTAAGGTCTCTTGAATATGTCTGCATTTTCATTCTATTCAATAATCACATATTTTTGTTAAATTGCCTCTATAATATTAATGTTCAAATTTTGGACAATTTTCACTGCTATACGTTTGATTATTATGTTCATTTCACACTTACTTTTGTTGATTTTATTGTCATCATCTCTCAAAAATCCATCTTTACTTCCTACAGACTCAAATCTCAAAAAGAGAGCGTAGTCTTGCCTGTGTGAAGGATCAACATCCTTTTTGCCATCATAGATCAGTCTGTAAAAATTCACAATCAGTTATTTTTAAGCAAAAGTGATACATTTTATCACCTGTCAGAAGACAATAGCAACCTAATCTTTAAATCTTTGCAAGCAGATAAAAGTTAGTAAATAAAAATACAACTGTCATCCATTTTCCAAAATTACTGTACAGATTGAGATGTGCCCAAAAAAAAGTCATAGAAAATAAAGCCCAGAAAAATGAGTTCATGCCAACATCTGCAAGGTAATAGTAATTGAAATATATTAATTCTTCAAGGTCCAACTCAAATGCCACTTTCTCTGTTAAGGATTTTGTTTCCAGGCACAGCTTGTTGCCATCTCAGGACTCTGTTCAAACCTCTACAATAGTCTTTCTTACTTTTGGTGTAATCAAAAACTTCTGTTACATATTTCTCTTCCCCAGTGAACTAAGCACATATTACCAGCTATGTTCTGACACACAAATCTTTTTAGAGGAGAAAAGGAAAGAAATGATGGAAAGAATAGAAGTAGGACCAAATACCTAGACAGGTTACATCCAGGCCTGATCATTGGCTAACTTGACCTTACCTAAAGGTCAGCTTTTATTTTCAGTGGATACTTAAATAACTTCACAAAAGGCTGATGGGTAATATTAGATACCACTGAAAATATCATGTTCAAAAAACATTTAACTAAGACTTTAAATTATAATCAACTTATGAGTGCCTATGCTAGACTCTCAAATGAAGTTAATGTGCTGTCATGAAAAAGAATATTGGAAAATTCAAAGATTTGTGTACTAAACAGAATCTTACAAGTTCACTGAAGCCCACCAGTATTATCTGAGAATGCAAAAAAAAGTATAATGCATCTTGACATGTGGCTTGTATTAGAGTATCATTAATAACACAATTGTAAATTGTACAAATAGAACAATTGCTTGATTTATTACCCTCCTTAAATTAAGACACAACTCAGTCATCAATAGGCAATTGATATCACCAAGTAACCCTGTTGACACAGAAAGAAGTATATTAAACACAGTCCTCTCACAACCAAGGATAAACAGACTTGCAAATGGACCAAATATTGACAAACACTGCAACCCACGAAGGTGTAGCTGCAACACCTATCATATATTTAAAAGGGCATTTCCAAATATATTTTCAAACTAAGCAACCCAACCAAGTACACGGAATTGTGAATAAATGTTTGCATAAGTCCTAAAAGTCCATGTGAATTTCAGCAAGCAAGTGTGTGGTTCATTCCAGCAGCTGACACTCAATCAGTAAGCATTGTCCCTTGGCAGGAATCCTGTACTTCTTTGGAGGCGTCTAGAACACACAACATGCCACTGACCATCTCCTGACCATCCTTGCAGGAAGAACCAGGTCTTGGCTACACAATCTGGTTTTTGGCCACAACTCAAAACATCCATTTCCACCACCTGATTTCTAGGAAGTCTGGAGAGATTTTTAATCTAACCCAAAATATTTAGAACCATATTTAGAAAGTTGCAAGCAATATTAACCATGTTAGAAGTACTGAGAGCCATAACAAGAAAAATCTTATTTATGCCCTCTGACAAGTTTTACTAAAATAGTATTAAAATTGATTTGATGAATGTATAGTTAGTATACTTTCCATCAATAATTAGCATTAAAATTGAACTAATTTCTGCTTACTTAGGGCTAAAACAAAATGTAATTGCAGTCTTTTCATAAGGTAATAAAGTTCCTTCATTAGGAACGCAGAAGATAAAAGATGTGACATCTATGTTTCTTATTTTGCTTAAGTAGGTGAGATTGTTTAAAGCAACATCTGTTCTTTGTCCAATATTTGCACCCTGTAATATAAAATCAGAAATAAAAAAGGATTAAGACAAAACACCAATGAAATAACATGTTTTAAGAGGAGGTCATACAATAATTACTGCAATTTCAGAGTCTAGAAAACAAAGAAAATCTATAGGTCTTTAAAGTAACACTTACACATAAATATGACCAAAGTACATCATCAAATTAAAGAACCATTTGAAAAACTGATGAGAACAGAAATCCCCATTAACGACTAATCTATAAGAAGTACTTGTCTGTTTTACTTCAGATATAAATTACTATCAATGTTATTTTAATTCACTAGATTTTTTGAGGTTACTCTTGGAGACACATGAAATAAAATCTACCTATTTTAAAATATATTTAGAATAATTAAATAACTTGTTGGTTATTTGTAGGTTTAAAATAATATGTTTCAAACCATAATACCTGATTTTCTCCTATTCTACCATTTACTTACCAATTCTTCTCCAACTGAATCGTCTTGCATTATGGCCACCCAATTTATGGGTTCTGGGCTATTATTGTATAAAAGTGCATGTTCAATTTTTGATGTCCCGAAGAAAACAGAACCAAAGCGTATGCAGTCCAACTTTTTGTCACCACTTATGTTTAACAATTCAATAATCTGCTCAACCACATGAGCTTTGATATTCAAGAGTATGTCTGGACGCCCTTGCAAACTGACTCTACAAGATAATGAAATATATATATATATATATACATACATATGCAAATATGTTTTAATTAGAAGTCTATACTTTATTTTTCTACTAAACATCTGGATAAACAGATACATTATAAAACCATATTATAGAGTAAAACCTGAGAAAGCCAGAACATGTATAAGGTGGAAACCTGCCAAAGAAGAAAAACTCAAATACTTCACACTAATAGAGAAGGACAGAAATGTGGTAAGACTGTACCCTGTCAAAGGCAGAAAACTTGTGAGACCTGGAAAAACAAGGCAGTCCCGTCCAGGTCCGGCTCCCATAGTTTTCACTGTAATTAAAACCCAACAGTGTAAGAGCAGTTCCCTTCACCTGTCTGCCAGAGGCTGTCATTTCCTTTTGTCTATCTCATTCTATATAATGGAATGGCACTTGTGCAGTCTAATTTGTTATTTCCAGAAAATAACAATGTTTGAAGTCAGTGTCATGAACTCACCCCACATAGAACTCAATCTCATGTCCATATCACCAATTATTTCATAAATAGTAGAGTTAGATGAGATGCTTTATATGGTTACTTTTAGTTCAAGAATTTTGAGATTCTTTACAACTCATCCCACCCCAGGTCCAACAGCCCACCTCATTCTCCTCCTAACAACCCAGTTCCCTACAAACTGAAGTTGCTGTTGTTGTTGTGTGCTGTCAAGTCGATTTCGACTCATAGTGACTCTATAAGACAGAGCAGAACTGCCCCATAGGGTTTTCTAGGCTGTAATCTTTATGGGAGCAGATCACCAGGTTTTTTCTCCTGTGGAGCAGCTGATGAGTTCAAACCACCGATCTTTCAGTCAGCAGCCGAGTGCTTAACCTTTGTGCTACCAGGGCTCCTTACAAACTAAAGAATCAGCAAAAATTCATATCTTTGCTGAAATGAATGTCTCCCCCATACAACTTTATTTTCCAGAATAATGCCAATCCTCTTTTGGAACTGCTCTTCCACACTTATTCCTCTCTGGCATAAAAACAATCATTTGTAACCTCCCTCCATCAGATATCACAAATAACTAACTACTGCACACCTATCAACAAAGTCCTTATCTTACACTATATCTCTGTAACACTGGTCGTCATTGATAACATCTCCTTTCACATCTTTCCTCCCTTAGCTTCCGTGACTCCTTATTTTCCTAGTTTTCCTTCTAACTCATTCAGGTCCCTCCTTTTCACTCTTCTAGGGTTTAGGTCTTCTGCAAACTCCATGAATGCTGATGTTCTCTTCTACTCTCCTCACACTCTACCCTCCATCTCAGAGTTAATCTAATCACTTCCATGCTTTATCACTTATACACTGATGACCTCCCACCCAATATGTCTAGACCAAATTTCTTTCTGGGGCTGAAGACATATAAAACTAATAGGCCCTAACCAGTTCTACCAGGATTCTGAAAGATAAATCAGTTCCAACATATCAAAACTTAAGATCTTCTTCCACAGAAGAGTCCCTCCTCTTTCCTTTCTTTTCTACAATCGGTCAGCAAATCTAGTGAAATCTGTCTGTTACATTTATCCAGTTTACTCACTTCTATCCACCCTCTCAACTTTTTCCTTAGCTCGGGTCTTCATCATTTCTCTCTTACTCCCTCACCCCTACAAAATCCAAATTAGGAGTCCCTCTTATGTGTACCCATATGCCATCTTTTACTACTTACCATTTTTGAGTCCCTAGTGTTGGGCAAATAGCAGAGGCTCAATGAATCAATGCTGAATGAAAGAACAAAGTATCTAACATACAACCAAAGACAAAAGGCACATTTGAATAGTGAACAAGAAAGAATTAAGAAACATGATACGTAGTATGCACTCACTTTGCCACGTCATTAACAATTCTAGGCTGGTCTGCACAGAAATCTACTTTGATGATCGTTGATGACTCAGCATCTACAATACCACTAGTTGGAAAAATGAGAATGGGTAATCCACCATGGTATTCTGTGATAAATATACCTAATGGGAACAAAAGCAGATGGTTTACATTTAGGTAATTACAATGTTGTATTCACACCTTTGTCAGGGGACAGATGCATATTACTGTGGGCCAAGAATCACAGCTCTGATTGTAAGTCCAGTATCTTTGGTCACCCAACAACCAAGAGCCTCGCGTTAGGACTCAACCAAAATTAGTAGCTAAAATATATTGTCTGCTTATTGTGTTCAGGCGTATACGCTAAGAGCTTTGCATATTTTATTCAGTCTTCACAACAATTCTATTAGATAGGTTCAATCATTTAACTCCATTTTACAAACAAGGAAATCAAAGTTTAGAAAAGTTGAGTAACTTGCCCAAAGTCACACAGCTTGTGGAGTAAATTACATTGTTGACGCAAATTCTTGACCCATCTCTGTATCCACACACTGACCCTCTCATGAAGTGTGTTTCCCTATCCCTTGTCTTTGGACTTGATCATGTGATTTGCTTTGGCTAACAGCATGTGGGTGGAAATGATAGGATGCCAGTTCCAAACCCAAATATTCTTTTCAAATTCCACCATGGGAAGTGTTTCTCCTGGGTAGCTGCTGTCCCTTTGGCCTGAGCTCCAGAATGATCACAAGTGGAACAGAGAAATCCCAGCTGACCCACACACACACAGTAAGAAACAGCGTCCCTAGTTGTCTCAGTTTGAAGCAGGGCCACCCAGTTAATCCTAGCCTAAATCGGTCAAGCTCCAGCCAACCTGCATACACATGAGCAATTAAAAATGATTGCTGTTTTAAGACACTGAATTTCAGGATGGTCTGTTACACAGCAAGAGTTAACTGCTACAGCTACTAACTAATTAACAGAGCTGGAATTTTTCACTTGGATGTTTCCGATCCTAGGACTCACACTTTTAGCCAATATCACTTCTGTATAAACGAATTAATCCAACTCATGCAGGGTTAGGGCAGAGGAAATGCAATTCTGGAATCAAAGAGCATATAAGAAGGCTACAGAGATTTGTTATTTTGGAAGCAGAAATAGTTAATAATTTATGGTAATGTTTGGTGTCTACATTAAAGAATGAGATCCTTGAGATCAGTTGATATCTCTTTTAAATCTCTGTGGTCCTCACACCCCATACAGTGCCCAGCACCAAGTAGTGCTCAAAATGTGTTCAACAAATGGACATAGTCAATCATGAGTCTCTTTAATATCACTTCCAAATATTAACACAAATGAGCATGCTGTCAACCTAAACAACTTTGCAAATTCCCAATTCACCACTTTGAAATCACATTTGATGACATTTTCCCAAAAATATTCATTTAACTCAGGAGAACAAAATATTACCATATTAAAAGTGTTGAAAACATACAAAGACAATACAAGTTTTTGTTTTTTTTTTAATGCAGAGATGACTTGAGGGAAAGGCAAACAAACTCACAGTAACCAAAATGGTTAATCCAGTCATTTTTAAGAAGTGCTAAATGACTTAACATTTTAAGGTTCATTTTATTCTGTCATAAAACAAAGCAAAAATCTGTAAAATTATATATGTTTCAGATGACTAGGCAGTATTGATTTAACAATCTAGAAAAAAAACTGAATTCAGTTAAATAGTTACTACATTGTAACCACTTAAACGGAATTTGACCAAAGAGTTTAAGAGAATGTTTCAAAAGTTTGTTCAGGAACAACGCAAAAACCAAAAGAACATTGTTCAATCTTCTAAATATATTAAAAGAGTTGGGATATGAAATTTACTGTAAGCCTTATATAACTTTATTTCCATTAATAATGATGAACTATTTGTCTATGTGTCCATTTTTAATTACTAACAACAGGTGCAAGGAATTCATCTTAAGAGCAGAGTGGCATTGAAAGAAGGATGGTACAAACGGAACATTCATGATCAGATTTTCATTTTTTTCAGATATGACACTGGCTGCCTGGTGACCTGCTCCCATAAAGCTTATAGCTTAGAAATCCCTAAGGGGCAGTTCTACTGTCACATGGGGTCGCTATGAGTCGAAATTGACTCCATGGCACCTAACAACAACAATGTGTGGAAAATAAACTAGAAGGAGAAAGGAAGAGACTTCAGGAAAATCATTAGTTGGTGGAGTCACTAGACAAGAGAAGACGATGGCCTGTTGTAGAGAAGACGCAGTGGGACAGAGAGAGGTAGGATTTCTGACATATTTAGGAAGTGAGTAGACCGGACTTAATAATTGACTAAGTAAGATGGTAGGAGGTGGAAAAGAGAGACATGATAAGAATTCTGCCAAGTTTCTGACTTGCCCAAGTACATGGTGGTATCATTCAGCATAAAAGAGAAAATGAAAAGTTTTATTTTCATAAAATTAAGCTGAGTTCAGTTTAGATGGGTTAAGTTTGAGACACCTGAAGAAGATCCAGAGAACAGTAGCACAGTAGTTAGCATAGAGGGTAGTTAGTGAAGGAATAGGAATGGAAGTGATGGCCCAAGGAGTGTGTGTTGACTTAAGAAACATGAAAGTCCATGGAAAGCCCTAAGGGATACTCACGTTTAATAAAATAAAGGAACAATGGTCCGCAAAAGAAGATTGAGGAGAGGAGAGATATTCAATAAAGAATAATGATAACAATAATAATAGATGTTTATTGAACACTTAATATATGTCAGAGAGTGTACAAAACAATTTAATAATCATCACCACAATGATAGGAGGCAGATACTATGTTTATCTCTATCATACAGGTGATGCAATGGATGCTTGGGAAGAGTAAATTCCTTGCCCAGGGCCTCCCATCTAGTAAATGGTGTAACCAAGATTCGAGCCCTGGTCAACCTCACTCCAGGACCTGAGCTATAACCACTATTTTATACAGGAGAATGAGATGTCATAGAAGCCAAGTGTTTTTTCCAGAAGGTGGCAGTGACCAAGCATGTCAAATATTGCTAATAAGCCATATAAGATAAACACATAGACTTGGCCACTGATGAACCTTAGGACAGCACACAGGGTGTGAGGGAAACCAAAGCTGTACTTGGGGTGAAGGGTCCTTTACATAAACCTGTATGTTTTTTGAATCTGGGTTGCTCTACGCTCTCTAGAGAAACAGATTAGACATTGGGTGGCAAAATACACATTGCTACCTTGTCTTTGTTTTTGTTATCGTTAGCTGTCATTGATTCGGCTTCTGACTCATGATGACCCCATGCACAATGGAGTGAAATGCTGGTTGGTCCTGAGCAATCTCCATGATTGATCGTGGATCAAACCATTGTGATCCACAGGGTTTTTAACTGGCTGATTTTCTGAAGCAGATCACCAAGCCCTTCTTCCTAGTTCATCTTAGTTTGGAAACTTCACTGAAACCAGTTCAGCAACATAGTAACACTGACAGACAGTGGTGGCTGCACATGAGATACACTGGCTGGGAACTGAACCACATGGAAGGGGAGAATTCTACCACTGAACCACCACTGCCCCCTCACCTTGCCTTTACTCTTCCAAAATATTTTTAAAACTATCTAATAAGTAGATATTTGTGTAAAAGTATTTGGAGGATCAAGCCAGGGCAAGCACACCAAGGATGTACCAGCTCACATGTCTACCAATAAGTTTTGGAGACTCTACAGAAGGCTCATAGTGGATGAAACAGGTTATATCTGAGTCCAGTCACCTTTCATTGAAAGCTTAATGGTTCTTTACTAAAACTCTGAGAAATCACTGAGCCAAATAAATAAAACAAAGGATTAGTGAGAGCCTGCTGTATGCCCAGCACTGTGTCATGCATACAGAGTATATTGAAACTCCGTGACAAGAGTTCCCAAGAAAACAAAACTGAAAAACAACAACTAAAAAAACATGTTGAGAATAAGTGGAGGATGCTTCTCTGGGTGGTTAAGTTGGATCTCAGAGACCTTTCCTGGCTTTGGTCCAATCGAACACATTTCCTGGTTTACACATGATGCCAGGCTCTTCTAGACAGTGAAGCAGAAAGATGATGTTGGTAATCAGGTGGAGGAAGGGGTGGGCATTAAGAGCAAGAGAAACATCATCATATATGTAGCGCAAAATAGACCAAATAAACCTAAAGTATGATGAGCTCCAAGGTAGCTGTTTAAGCCCAGAAGAGGTGTGTAAAAATCACCCTAGGAACTTTGGAAACTGTTACAACACCATCATAACATTGTAGTAGAAAATGTCAACTCAAATATTCTAGGGTACTCGGGGGAAAGATGGTCCCTGAGTGATGCAAATAGTGCACTTGGCTGCTAACTGAAAAGCTGGAGATTTAAGTCCACCCAGCAGGCACCTTGGAAGAAAGACCTGGTGATCTACTTCCAAAAACTCAGCCATTGAAAACCCTATGGAGCATAGTTCTGCTCTGACACACATGCAACTGACTCCATGGCAACACCCTCCTCAGGGGAAGGGGGTATGACTGCAATTCAAGACATGCTAAAATAATTAGGGTTTTTCAATCTTCCAATATAAAAGCTGACGGATGATATGAATATACTATAAAATCATAAAATACTTCACCAGCTCATAAAATACTAACATTAGAGACATTTTAAAGACTGAATCATGTCTTTTGAAAAAGAAAGACAAGTGTTACAATGCAAAGTCAGGAGCAAACTTAGGAAACATTTTCTAAAGGCTCATTAAAGAAAAAAGATTTTAAAACTATTGATTAAATCCATGGATGATTACTCCATAATGGGCTATTAAAAGACCATCAAGAAATCATTGTATAGCTTAACTTTGGGGTCTACATAACCAAAGATAATAACCTCAGTGGCCCTACCAGAGAGAGAAAACTAAGCTGTACAAATCATTAATCTGCTGAGTGTGGAATTTTTTATGTCCTCTTAACATATACGTATAAATTTGTATTTGATTTTGACTCTAACATGATAAAATACTTGTTACATAAAATCCTTTTTTTTAAGTTTCATTAAAATCACTTTTGGTTGCTGAATCTATTTTCTGCACAAGTAGTTTTTTTTTCCCCTTCATGAATATATGTTGTTATACTCATTAATATTCATATATTATTGTATATATTATTGTACTTGCAAATAGTAAAGGCTTTATGACCCTTTACTGGCACTCACCACTGTGAATACATACCATCAATTTAGGTAAAGGTGGAAAAAAATAATGTGATCCACTCCAAGAATGAGGGCAAAATCAAGACTAGGAAAATGTGATTAATTAACAATTTGATTAAGTTTGTAAGGTAAAAGTAATTAACATTTCACAGTACTCAGTTATAATAAACCAAAAAACCCAAACCCATTGCTGTCAAGTCGATTCCGACTCATAGAGACTCTATAGGACAGAGCAGAACTGCCCCATAGGGTTTCCAAGGAGTGGCTGGTGGATTCGAACTGCCGACCTTTTGGTTAGCAGCCGAGCACTTAACCACTGAACCACCAGGGCTCCTCAGTTATAATAATCCTAATCAAATGTAGTATTCACTGCAAATACTATGCATACACAAAAAATTAACACAATACAAAAGGCCGATGTGGATCATTTTTCCTAAAATATATGGATCCAGGTCTACAGCTTAATTTTATTTCTTATATCTTATTGAATAAATATTAAATTAAAATCATATTTCCTATTACTTAAAGAGAGAATTCTTACTTAATAAAAACACACAGTTTGATGAGATTTTAGAATAAAAAGAGTATATATTGTTTTGATCAAAACACTGAAGGATTTTGAATGGACAATAGTTAAGTTGCAGTTTTGGAAAGTAAAATAATATAAATAAAATTCTCCAATTATGCATCACTACTCGAAAATATAGCCAGGAAGTCTAAAGACCATATAGCCCATAATCACCTTAAGAGACTCCATCCTAAATATAAGAATCAAACAACATGTTGTTGTTGTTGTTGTTAGATGCCATCGAGTCTATTCCAACTCATGGAGACTCCATGTGACAGACTAGAACTGCCCTACAGGGTTTCCTAGGCTGTAATCTTTATGGGAGCAGATCGCCAGGTCTTTCTCCCACAGAGCCGATGGGTGGGTTTGAACCGTCAACCTTTGGTTAGCAGTTGAGTGCTTAACCATTACACCATATGACCCTAATATTCTACAATTTCACAGATATCAGAAATTCAATTATTTAAAAACCGAATCATGGAAAGCAAATTGAGCAACATTCAGGGAAGAACAATGTTTTATTTGGTTATACCCCAGGAAAAATCAGTAAAATGACAGACTGCCTTTGTCTTAATCATTCCCAGTGCTCAACTAGGTGGTCCTAGAGGACATCCTTAGTGAGAAAGGGTTTGGAATTTGACATCTTGTTTTATGTATCCAATAAGCAGAGTCTCAGAGAGTTATCCTCCCTCTCCTGAGGCAGTCCTCAACTCATTATGGCAGACAGGGTAGCATTGCCACCTCAGATATTGACCATCCCACCAAAAGAATCAAGGGATAAGCGATTATATGCCTATTGTGTACTGTCAGTGAAGAGTATACATACACACACACACACACACACACACACACACACACACACACACACATAAATTTATGGAAACTGTTAGACCACAGTAACAATCCCTAGTAATAATCCAATCTGAGGAAGACAGAAGTATTTATTCTTTCAACAAACAATTAGTAACAGTCTTCTAGGGACCACACTGTGAATTCAAAGATGAATATGATAGAGGAAGAGAATAAATATTGGCTGAGTGCCTGTGATGATCCAGGCACCATACTAGGACTTTTATGTATGTTCCCACCCAAACCTCATAATCTTAAGTACATACTTATTTCACATAGCACATTTTATTAGTCCAGTTTATAAATGAGCCAACTCAAGTTTCCTTATTTAACCTTATTGAAGACACTTGCCTCAGATCACAGTGAGGCATGGTGCCATGATTCTATCTCTGGATGGCTCTAAGGACCATGTCACTTTCATGATGCCATCCTGCCTCCTATTCTTTAGGAGATCAACAAGCATCTGAGAGTCAGGCTGTGTTCAGCAGGAAGGAGGCAGGTTCATTTTTCCTGAAATATTACCTGTCAGTCTTTTACAGTCATACCATTCATGATCCTTAAGGTTTGAACTACTTCAAATGATAGGCGTCTTTTTTCTGATGAATCAGAGAAGCTATTAATACACTATGCAAACATTTCAAATAATATCAACTTTCTTACAAAATTGTAAGTTAATTTATAGGACAGAAAATATTTACCTGGAGCTTTGCCATGGTTAATGATATTAATCTCTTTACAATATACTTTACTATTGGCAACCAGTGTGCCGAAATCAACTTCTGACTCAATTTCTAATTGACAGGATGGAATTAACCTAGGGGAAGGGAAAAGAGGGCATTTAGTTAATTTTTAACAATCAGAACCTAATAGTTAAATCTATACCTGTTGCTATTGAGTTGATTCTGACTCATAAATCTATAGGGAACATATACAGACAATTTTATCTGAAGTCCTTAAAAGACATTCTGATATCCTTACCAGTCCACTGATAGCATACTTGTCAATAGAAGAAATTGTGAAATAAAGACACGAAAACAATAAGACATTTTTAACAAATCAGATTTTATGCATCTAAGTACATGACATACCCTCCCAAGTACTCACTTTGAGAGGGTATTCATCTATTTCAATGATATTTTCATTGCTTGAAACCTGTTTGGGACTTCTTTTTAGAATCTCTACATAAGCCTATATTTTTTTGTCTGGCCTTGAAAAAGGTAGAACTTAACAAAGTAAAGCAGTTTGGATGATGTGAAATCAGATGAAATAAAAGACGTCAGCGATGCTGTAAAATATCATTTGGGGTCTAAAAGAAGGTCTAAAGTACAAAATGATAAATTTATTTTTCATATGTGTCTCTAAAGGGTTTATTGTAGCATATGTTTTCATACATGTTTTAAAAGTTAATTATCATCCTATATATGCATCTTATAAGTACACTTACATTTTATATTTGGATAATAATTTACAAAGTACCCTTAAGTATGTTACTATGATTGATGCTCACAAAATTCTGAAAGGTAGATAAATATTATGGCACCTACGTTACCGATGAAAAGCCGAAGACTGAAAAAGCTTAAACAATTTGTTTAAGGAATTATCTGGATATAACTTTGGAGCTCCTAGCTTAGAATTAATTTTGTTAGGCTTCAAGTGCATTGTACTTATAAACTTAAGAATAGTAACAACAGCACCAATAATAATCATAATAACAGCTGATATTTATTGAATCCTTGGGTTATGTGCCAGGCACATGTATTAAGTCATTTACTCCACATTGGGTACGGTATTCCAAATAAAAATAAACAAATGCTTACATACATACATATGTATATACATAAATACACAAATAAGAAGCTCTGAACAAAGCATTCACAAACACTGCTTTAGGCACTAGTGGTCTGAGCCTTTTTTCTGGGTTGTGTGTGTGTATGTGAGTGTGTGTGTGTGTGCGTGCACGTGTGCTATTGGGTAGGTACAGAAAATCCAGGGGTCAGGCAGGACTGTTCTAGATATCCCTTTTAAGACCCAATTGCTTTCTGCTTTGAATTTTTTTGTTGATATCATGTGTTTCTATTAATGGAAGCATGCTGAATCACTGAGCGCTGAAATTTTTGTAGGTAGTATGGATTTTCTTTCTTGCCCCCCGCCCCGCCCCACAAGCCTACCCTCGGAGTACATACATTGTCCCACTAATTCTACCTCCAGAGTCCCCACCACTGAGTCCACTGGAGCATTTGTGTTCCAAAAAATATTTCAAAATTTCTCCTTTTCTTCCAAAAATGTACACGAGTCATACAACACCCTGTAGAAACAGTAATTTTCAGCACGACTGTTTTTTTTTTCAGTCATAAATGCCCTTGTCTTGTCGCAGCATGCACCGTCTGTGGGAAAGCAGCTTCCCAATGAACCTGAGAGGCAGAAAATGTTGGTGGGCAACCATATATTCCACCGGTCAAGAAAAGGATATGCTGCATCTTCTAAGAAACACCCATACTCTTCTCAGAAACAGATTATATTTTTATGACTGGAAAAGGGAAGATCAATAACCTGAGAATATACATTACATTAACAAGAAGTTTTCAGAATCTAAAAGAGGAACCTATTACATACACAATGTAAGATGTGAAGTCAGGCATTTTTGCAAAATATTCACATAGCTAGAAGTAGAAAAGGGTCTTAAGAACAATTTCTTAAGAATCTTCTCATAGATATAATATACGGTCTTCCTCAGTAGTAAATGTTAGGTAACATATAACAATTCCTCTGGCTTTCCTATTGGTTTCCCTTTGTCTTGTATTAAAACAAAAACAAAAATGTGATCTGGCCCCACTTACACCACAACACAATAAAACAGCTGACCTCTGAGGACAATGAAGTGTCTAGCCAGTTATGAGGGTAAGCCCTACTGACCCCAAATGTTCTCTGCATGATGAGATGCCAACTGGGCTCTATGAGTTGAAGGAGTCTCTCAAGAAGAAGAGAATGATCAACACCCCAATATCAAGTACCAGAGGGCTTCAAACTCTGATACCTGGATGGCTAAACAAAGATCTTCCAAAGGTACATCTTCTGATTCTGCTTTTTCATATAGTCTTGCAGATTCTTTTTTCCCACTCTTCTATTCATAATTCCTTTTCTGTCACTTTATAAAACAAAAGGGTGGCCAGATCCTACCTTTTCTTAATCTTACTCTGATGCATTGCTTTGAGGTATAAATATCTCTGGAGCACCAAACAAGGGGATTGTTGGAAATAACAGTGTTGATGCTGGGAAAGTGAATGACTAAAATGACTAGGTAATAAATCCATTTGCATTAAGGTGGTCTACAATTTTCTTTCATCAACATTGAAAAGGGAAGATATAGTGAAACTTGTAAGAGCTGGAACTCAACAGGACTGCCTCGTTTTTCCAGGTCTCACAAGTTTTCTGCCTTTGACAGAGTGCAGTCTTACCACTTTTCTATTGCTTGTTTTACTGGAAAATATTTGGGTTTTCCTTCTCTGACAGGTTTTCACCTTACACAGGTTCAGGGTTTTGCAGGTTTTACTGTATAACTGTGATAGCTGAAAAATTGTTAAAAATAATGCTTGATAATAATCATTTGTGATTTGAGCATACAACTTTAAAGGAGTTAAAAAACTGAGAGACATTGCTATAATTACCACCTACTCATTATGAAGACAATATTTTCTCAGCATTTACATCAAAAAACAAACAAAAAAATGGCAATAAAAATTTATGTGGAACCCTTTCTCATTTAAGCAGTAAGTAACCATCATTCATGAACATGCTATCTAAATGAAAGTTTAAACAGTTCTATCAATCTGACTCAGAAAAGCATTTCCAATAATATTTTGCCCTTTATGTTAAAAAGTATCAAATCTTATCATATATAGAGAGAATCTGAACCAATTTTACATTAATATTATAATCCATGAGAAATTAAATAACATATATGTATTTATGATCCCAGGAAAACTATTTATATACATATTTGTATACATACTGAATATACATATATACGTATGTACACATACATATATAACTCAAACCAGACCCATTGTCATGCAGTTTATTTTAATCCCTGGCAACCCCATGTGCTTCAGAGTAGAATTGCACTCTGCAGGGTTTTCTTGGCTGTAATCTTATGGAAGCAGATTGCCAGGCCTTTCTTCCTGGGCAAGAGGGGCAATGGTGGGGGATCTCACCATATTCCTTCTCACCAAGAGACATCTGGCAGCCAGGCCTGGAAAAACACCTTCCATCTCCTCAGGTAGCAACCAAAAAGAAAAGTGGGAGCAGTAGTAATAATAAATAAAGCAAGTGGGCAAAAATACCACCACACCCTCTGACTCCCTAACCCAGAATTGAAGCCACTCCCGAAGTCTACCTTTCAGCCAAAGATTAGACAGTGGCTTAAGAGCTTGGCTGCTAACCAAAAGTTGGGCAGTTCGAATCCACCAGCTGCTCTTTGGAAACCCTCTGGGGCAGTTCTACTCTGTCCTATAGGGTCACTATGAGTCGGAATCAACTCGACGGCAATAGGAAATGGGGCAACATCATACTTAATTGTGAAAAACTGAATGCTTCCCCCAACAGAGGGAGCAGGGAAAGGGTGTCTGCTTTCACCACTCATATGCAACATGTTGTTGTTATTGTTAGGTGCCATCGAGTTGGTCCAGACTCATAGTGATCCCATGTACAATATAACAAAACACTACCCGGTCCTGTGCCGTCCCCACAAAAATTGTTATGTTTGAATCCATTGTTGCAGCCATTGTGTCAATCCACCTCGTTGAGGGTCTTTCTCTTTTTTGCTGACCCTCTGTTTTACCAAGCGTGATGTCCTTCTCCAGGTACTAGAAATTCTAGCCAGAGAAATAAGGTAGGAAAAAGAAATACATTTTGGAGAGGAAGAGAAATATCTATTGCTATATCCAGATGACATGATTATCTACGTAGAAAATCCCAAGGAATCTAAACAACAAAAAAACAAAAACTAGAAAGTGAGTTCAACAAGGTCACAAGATACAATACCAACACCAAACACCAGTTGCATTTCTATAGGCTAAGAATGACATACAGAAATCAAAATTTAAAACACAGTAAGATTTAGAATTGATCTAAAGAAAACGAAATGCTTAGGTATACACTTGACAAAATATGTACAAGATCTTTATACCAAAAATTACAAAATGCCAATAAAAAGAAATCAAAGAAGACCTAGATAAATGGAGAGACATACCACATTCATATATCTGAAGACTTACCAGAGTAAAGATGTTAATTCTTCCCAAACTGATCTATAGGTTTAACATGCTTCTTATCAAAATTCCAGCAGTGTTTTTGGTAGACACAGAAAATATTATTCTAAAATTTACATGGAAAGGCATAGGCCCTAGGATAGTTAAAGTAATCTTACATGATACTGGTACAGGCATTAACATATAGACAATAGAATAAAATACAGGACACAGAAATACACAAATATGCTCAACTGATTTTTAACAAACATTCAGAATCAATTCAATGAACAAAGGATAGACTTTTCCACAAACGGGGCTGGAACAAGTAGACATCCATAGGGGGAAAAGAAAAAATGAACCTCAACCAAAACCTTATACTTCATTCAAAAAATAGCTAAATATAGATAAAAACTCAAATATAAAATGTAAAACTATAAAACTGTTTTTAAAAGATTAGAGAATATCTTTGGGACCTAAGGCTAGGCAAAGAGTTCTTATATTTGACACTAAAAGCACAATCTCTAAAAGGAAAATTGATAAATTGGACCTTATCAAAATCAAAAACCTTTTCTTTACAAACATTGTTGTTGTTAGCTGCCATTGAGTCGGCCCCAGACTCATGGTGACCCCATGTACAAGGGAACAAAACATTTCTGGTCCTTTGCCATCCCCAGACCTTTCTTCCAGTCTGTGTTGGTCTAGAAGCTCCACTGAAACCTGTTCAGCATCATAGCAATATGCAAGCCTCCACCTACAGAAGGGTGGTGGCTGCAAGTGAGGTGCATTGGTTGGAACCAAACACATATCTCCCAAATGAAAGGTGAGAATCCTACTACTGAACCACCAGTGCCCTCATTCTCTACAAAATGTGCCATCCAAAACCAAACCCACTGCTGTCAAGTCGATTTTGACTCATAGCCACCTTATAGGACAGAGTAAAACTGCCCCATAGGGTTTCCTAGGCTGTAATCTTTATGGGAGCAGATCACCAGGTCTTTTCTCTCAAGGAGCAGCTGGTGGGTTCAAACTGCCAACCCTTCGGTTAGCAGCAGAGCACTTAACCTCTGCACCACCAGGTCTCCTTGTTCTCTGCAAAAGACCCTGTTAAAAAGATGAAAAGTCAAGTTATAGACTGGGAAAAAATATTTGCAAACCACATATCCATCAAAGGACTTGTATCCAGAATATATAAAGAACTCTCAAAAGTCAACAGTTAAAAAAAAAAAATCCAATTAGAAAATGGGCAAAAGACATGAACAGGCATTTTACCAAAGAGGATATACAAGTGGCAAATAAGCGCATGGAAAGACAGTCAACACCATTAGCTATCAAGGAAATTCAAATTAAAACTACAATGAGACTTCATAACACACCTATCACAATGGTTAAAATAAAAAACAATGACATCACCAAATGCTGGCAAAGATGTGGAAAAAGTGGATTACTCATACATTGCTCGTCTGAATATAAAACAGTACAATCACTCTGGAAAACAATTTGGGATTTCTTATTAAACTAAACATGTAACTACATATGACATAGCAATTTCATTCATGAGCATTTATCACACAATAAAAACGTCCATTCACAGAACACTTGTATGAGAATGTGCATAGCAGCATTATTTCTAATAGCCAAACACTGGAATCATCCCAGATGTCCTTCAACAGGTAAATGGTTAAACAAATTGTGATATATGCATACCATGAAATACTACTCAGCAATAAAAAGGAACAAACTACTAATACATGCAACAACTTGGCTGAATCTTCAGGGAATTTTGCTGAGCAAAAAAAAAAAAAACAAAAAAATGAAGCCAATCCCAAAAGGTTTTATACCGCATAATTCCATTTATATAGAACAGATCTGAAATGATAAAATTGTAGAGGAGGACAGAGCAGTAGTTTTCAAGTTTATGGATGGAGGGCATGTGGCAGGAAGGAGGTGAATGTGGTTATAAAAGGCAATGAGAAGGATTCTTGTGATATTAAAACTCTTCAGCATCTTGACTGTGGTGGTGGACGCACAACCCCATGCAGGTGATAAAATTACGTAGTACTTAACATCTTAACACACACATGCATACACAGAGTTAAAGTAAAACTGGAAGTCAGAATAAGATTGGTGGATTGTATCAATGTCAATATTCTGGTTGTGGTATTATCCTGTAATTTTGCAAAATGTTATGATTAGGAGAAATTGTACAAGGTGTTTTATTTTATCTATTTTATTTCTTACAGCTGTTTTATCTCTGTTTTATTTCTTAAAACTGCATGTGAATCTGCAATCATCTGAATTAAATATATATATATATATAAGCAAAGTCTCTCTCTGTTTCTCTCTCACACAGACACACAGACATAGACACACACACACACACACACACAGAATTCCCTCAATCTTGCCCATCACACTTAAAGGAACAGTGCTGGCCTTATGTTGCAACTGTAGTGAGGAGGGGACTTCTGATAAGAGACAGCATACATTGTGGGGACAAGAAAAAAATTCCTACTTTTCAAGGACAGAACAAACTTCACCCCTTCTCTCCATATATAGCACAGACTAGCAAATCTGAGCAGCAGTCACAGGCATACCAATGTACAAATGGACCAAAAATGGTCCTACTTAAAATAAGTTGTAAAAAGTAAATTAAATATTTGGATTAGGGTAAACAGCATGTTCCCTTCCTACCATGTATCAACTGCTCGGTTCCCATATAAAATGGGACGATGTGCTAAATCAGAACTTCTCAACAATATGGAGGAACAAAATAATTTCAGATCCAAACTTAGTTTATATAAATGAAAAAACACAAGGGGAATCATAAAAGGGTGTATGTCTATTACCATGTAATAAGCAGAAAATATTCCAGGGTTAATACTACTGGTGGTCGACAGAGAAAAAGAAACAACACCTGTAGAACATTTTGCTGGAGAAAATGAGAAAGACTACATATGTATGTATATGAATGGAAAACACTTTGAAATTTTTAACACTAGTTTTATAGGAAATTTTACAATGAATAGAAGTATACATTTTTCACTGTGAAATTAAAACAACAAACTCCTGGTCAAATAAATACTTTGTATCAAAGTTAATCTCTAAATTAGCCACTTAGTTTTGTGTTATATTCCTTATATCTGCCCACATTCTTCAATCAATCTCAAAATGGCACCATTTCTATTTTTTCCAATCCAAACATCTGTACTATTTAAAATTTAGTGAAGTGAATTTTACAACATTTTAATTAAATTATAATATGAATGGGTGCACAAAAATCAATTAATTGCACAGTCAATTGGTGAGTGCTTTTAGATTATTTTATGAAAAAATCCCAGAGATCTAGGCTTCCATTTGTTTCAAACACCACCATTTTCTAAAACTTCTTCCTTTAAGTTCAGCTACAGGAAAACTAAAGTCTTACCTATCAGAGAAAATACAAAATATCCCTTTGAATCAATCTGAAGACTGCTCAAAATGTCAGCATGAGATATGAAAATAACATACCCAGCTAGAGGGATTTCTATTGTTCTATTTCCTGCTGAAATAAGCAGTTGGTCAAAAGTGTCTTCATCTTTATCAGGATGATATTCCACCATAGCCGTCATCTGAAGTCCAGAAGCAAGTTCTTTATCCAGATTGTTCAAAAGTAGTTTGAACTGCAGTGGGAGAAAGAAAAACAAACAAACAAACAAAAAACAAACATCGAATTGTACATCCTTAACTCCTTATAAGGAAATAAGATGAGCAACTGTAGTTAAAACCAAAACCAAACCTGTTGCCATCAAGTTGATTCTGACTCATAGAGACCCGACAGGACAGAGTAGAACTGTCCTATAGGGTTCCAAGGAGTGCCTGGTGGAGCCGAACTGCCAACCTTTTGGTTAGCAGATGAACTCTTAACCACTACACCACCAGGGCTTCCAATTGTAGTCAGGGGTACATATTATTACAAGAGACATATCAAGACATACACCTTAGTATTCTGCCTAAAGGCAAACATTCAACGACCATATTTATACCTGTCAGGTTCTAGATCTTTAAGATATGCTTTTAGCATACATTAATAGAAACTTACAATTCAGTTAGAATAAAACATGTAAACACCCATGGGCTATTTTAAAAATATGAGATCCTTACAGAACTGATATGGCCTCCACTCTAAGAAGCTTAAAATCTAATGCAAAGGAAGAGAAACATAATAAATGTTGCTTAATCATACATACATATACATACGTACACATGTATATTTTGTATAATTTGACCTTTTGTTTAGCAGCCGTAGCTCTTAACCACTGTGCCACCAGGGCTCTATCATTAGAAACAGTCCCTTAAAAATCAGTTATTTATCACTTAAATATCACAAATTCTAATCACCTTTTCACTATATCAAAAGTCTCCCTGGAAACAGATGAGCGTAGTAAACTAATATCTATTCAGTTACACACATGATCTAAAATAACATAGTGAGATTTAAAAAAAAAAAAAAAACCCTTTGCCATCAAGTCAATTCGGACTCATAGCGACCCTACAGGACAGCGTAGAACTGCCCCAGAGAGTTTCCAAGGAGCGCCTGGTGGATTTGAACTGCTGACCCTTTGGTTAGCAGCCGTAGCGCTTAACCACTGTGCCACCAGGGCTCCAACATAGTGAAATAGAGCACATGAAATGTTGACTTTTAAATCAGAAGACTGGAACAGCCTCTGAAAACAATTTTGCTGATGGCTAGACCTCCCTAGAAACCCTGGTGGCACAGTGGTTAAGAGCTACGGCTGCTAACCAAAAGGCTGGCAGTTTGAATCCACCAGGTGCTCCCTGGAAACCCTATGGGGCAGTTCTGCTCTGTCCTATAGGCTCACTATGAGTTGGAACTGACTTGATGGCAATGGGTTTGAGGTTTTTGTTTTTGTTTTTTTTTTTTTTTTTTTTTGGTTTTAGACCTCTATGAAGACGTCACCCTTAGTCTCTAAGCCCTATGAGGGCAGGGCTGTATCCATGCTGTATTCCTCACAACACTGCCTGTTATATTGTAGTTGCTCAATAAGTGCTTCTTCATGTAGTGAAATAACATTCTCACTAATTCTACAGTATCTGGAGTAATCAGGCACTTCATTATTCAAAAGGTAGTTAATATAGAATTTTCATGAAAGATCACATAATGTTTAAGATAACTCAGTATCAGGAAGCCAAGATGCAAAGATTTGGGTGGGTTAAGAGAAGACAGTCACGGAGTCCTCTTCTCTTGTTTACAAATCTTGGATGAAGAAATAGGGAAGTTCTAGATGATTTTTTCCCCCGTTCTGTCCTCCCCATCTCCCAGCCTGAAGCAAAAAGGAAAAAGAAAAAATCAAATCAAACCCAAACCAAACAAAAAGGCGTGCACAAGCACGAACACATACACTGAGATACAGGGAAAGTCAGCGCTCCCTGGAAAAAGTTCAATCCTCCCCACTCCTTCCTGCCCCTGTAGGAGTCGTGTGTCTACTCCCAAGGCAAAAAGAGGCGCCCAGGTGGCGAGGCGTCCTCAGAGCCCCCGCCCGCCCCAGATCCTATTCTGGCACCCCTTGGGGTGTCACCTGTGGTTTTAGTGGCTCCTGAAACCGGATCTTCTGGTTCCAGCGACCTAAATTGTGTACAGTAATCGGGAGGCGGTACACCCTCCCCGCTGACGTGTCCAAAAACTTCAGCTCCGACGGGGTCACCCGCAGCTGCACATCCTTCTTCGGGATCTCTGTGTCCCGGGGGACTAAGGAGCCCCTCTCCATGTCCATGGCTGCCTTCTTGGTCGCCGCCAAACGGTTGCGGAAGCAGAAGAGGACTAGTGTGGACGGCCGTCGCTAGGCAACCATTCGACGTGGAAGTCGCGCTCCCCTCGAGTTCTGCCGCGTCACCGCTGCAGGGAGGCTGCCTGCAGCTGTCTGGCGAGAGAACTTCGTGGTTGCAGCTATCACCAGAGTACATGAAAAAGACTATACGGCAGCCCAAACCCCAAAGGCACCCTACTTTTGCCAGAGCCTGGCAGGATCTTGGTGGGCATTTTCTTGGACTTCTCCTAAGGCCAAGCTTAAGAACACAGGAAGTGATGTGGCAGAGGAAGTAAAGCAGCAGGATGTAAAAGAAACAGAGGAATTCAAGGGAAACATAGTCATCCCCCCCTCCTCCAAGACGTCCTGCTCAGTGGTCTTTACTTTTATTTTTTAATTCTATTTATTTTGTTGTGGTGGTAAATATAACAAGTCATTTGCCATGTCAACATTTTCACGTGTACGATTCAGAGACATTAGTTATGTTCATGGTGTTGTTCGACCATTACCATCATCCATTTCCAGATTTTCCATCACCCTTAACAGAAGCTCAATGTCCCCTAAGCAGTGAATCCACCCCTCCCCTCCCTCACACTCACCCCTGTTATCAGTGGTCTTTAGATTAATGCTTCTCAAAATGTAATAGGAATTCCTGGGTATTTTGTTAAAACGCAAATTCTGATCTGGGGCAGGGCCTGAGAATCTGCATTTCTAACAAAATGTCAGGTGCTTCTGATGCTGCTGGTCCAGGGCCCACACGATGAATATAGAGACTTTAGGCATTTTGTTAACTACTCTAGGTTTAAGTTTCTTCATTTGTGAAATGAAGTTGTTGCTCAAGGGATAGAGGTTAAACTTTCATGGCTAGTTGAGGACCTTTCCAACAGGCCGCAGTTCACACTCCTCAATCCCTATTCTCTCCTCATCCTTCATCTACTGTAATCTTCTCAGGGTTCTAGAACATACCAGGGGCTTCCATTTCCTCCTTGCCACTCTGAGGGGAATGGGCTCTCCATCTATCTGCCTGCCAAACAGTTACTCATCCTTTGAGACCTAAATATCTTTGTAAAACTTTTCCCATAGGTTTTTTTTTCCAGATTCCCATAGTACCAAGATGATAAATGAGGAATTACTTCACTTTCCACAAAGAGGTGGAGATCAGTCAGTAGTTTTAAATATAAAAGGCAAGCTGTTAAGTGCCCTGGAATTGTTATTGCCAATAGTTCAAAATAGTGGAGGTAGTAGTGGTGGTGATTATTATTTTCAAATTCTTAGGAACTGATAGATGAGAAGACTGGCCTGAGACTGGACTTCTGGGTAGACTCTAAAAAAACAGTAATGAAAATCAAATGGAGAACAATTTTATTCCCTGCTCTGTTGGTATTCACATCAGCTAAGGGAGGATGTCACACAGTTCTCCAAATTCACCAAGCCCAAAGCTCAATCTTTTGTCCTTAATACCTGTAGTTAAGCCATCTTGAAGATGAAGTATTCTAACATTTGCTTCATATTTTTATCTCCAAACTCTCTGGTAAAATTTCTATTGTCAACCAACTAACCAGTTGCTATGGAGTCGATTTTGACTCATAGTGACTCCATGTGTTTCAGGGTAAAACTATGCTCCATTGGGTTTTCAATGGCTATGATCTTTTGAAAGTAGATGGTCAGACCTTTCTTCTGAGGTGCCTCTGGGTGGATTCGAACCACCAGCCTTTCAGTAGCCTACTGCCTAATCATTTCTATTGTCAACTAATGACCATGTAAAGGCTTATTTTGGTGAACTGTAGGCTGTTTTAGCTAAAATTTTCAACCAAACATGATTATGTACTTACTTTTAGGTTGGGTGCAAAACACATAATGCCAAGAAATTTTACATAATAATAACAAGTTCCCAGGTAATCCTGATGCTACTGGTTAAAAGATAAATAGTATCTTATAAACGTCATTTTTAGTCCTCTGAAAGCATCCCAGAGAATAATGTTAATAAGATATTATATATGAAATATATGCATTCATCTTTGTTCAGATTTCAAAGGCAGTGTAGTTGGCAGGACTTGCGTGTGAAAATCAAAGGCGGTGTTTTGACAAAATATTTTACATATTATAAATAAGGTTAAATTGTTTTCCTTATATTAATGAATGATGAAGTGTTACAGAGACTTTGAGGTGAAGGAGGGAGATGCTAAGAGTCCAATAAAGAATTGCCGTTCTTCTCCTCTGAATTAATTTAAAAGAAAAATAAAACTCCTACCTACTGACTATAAATTGTGCAATGGGAACTAGAGATCAGATGTCCTACTTCATAATTAGCTAGTGGAAACTATAATTATGCCTGGAGTTTCTGAACACCAAGGAAGGAATAACAATGAGGAAGTAAGCAAAATAATCCCTAGTGGAATTTTTGAATATCTAATCTGACTGCAATGGGTTAATCTGCTAGAGAGGAGCCCTGATGGTGCAATGGTTATGCCCTCTACTAACCAAAAGCTCAGCAGTTTGAACTCACCACCTGCTCTGCAGGAGAAAGATGTGGCAGTCTCCTCCTGTAAAGATTACAGCCTTGGAAACCCTACAGGGCTGTTGTACTTTGTCCTATAGGATGGCTATAGGTCGGAATTGACACAATGACAATGGGTTTGGCTTGGTTTTTTGGTTTAATCTCCTAGACCTGTTAAAAGGATTGAGAAAGTTGGTGAAAAAGGGAAAACAGTGGGTATTATTTTAACTATTTTAAATATTCAAAAATTCAAATAATTTCTTTAAAAAAGGATTCATTAGGCATTCCAGGAAAATCTTTCACAGTGGTTAAAACACTGACAGAAATGGGAGATAAACAAGCCCTTCTCTAAACACAAGAGTATTAACAATGAAGTAATCAGTGTATTTATAAAATAATTTGAATGTAGGTAGTGTAAAATGAAATTCACTAAGATTGCATATGATTATGAGTTCTCCCAGATACTAAAAATCTATGCCAATAAGAATAAACTGACTGATGTCTGGGTAGTGTATATTAGCAGAAATTGGGTGGCATTAATATAACAAACTAAAACAGAAAACAACAGAAAGAATCAACAAGACTAGGAGTTGGTTCTTTGAGAGGATGCATAAAATTGACAAACCACTGGCCAAATCGAAAAAAAAGAAAAAGATGCAAATAACCAAAATAAGAAATGAGATGGGTGATATTACAACAGAACCAACTGAGATAAAAAAGGATTATAACAGAATATTACAAAAAATTGTACTCCAACAAATTTGAAAACCTGGAAGAATGGACAAGTTTCTAGAAACATACTACCTACCTAAGCTAACATAAACAGAGGTAGAAAATTTGAACAGACCCATAACAAAAGAAGAAATTTAAGATGTCATTAAAAAAAAATAATAATAATAAAATAAAGGCCCCGACCCAGAGGGCTTCCCTGGAGAATTCTACCAAACATTTAGAGAAGAGTTGACACCAATTCTATTCAAACTATTCCAGAACATAGCAAAGGAAGGAATACTCCCTAATTCATTGCATGAAGCCAGTATAACCCTGATACCAAAGCCAGGCAAAGACACCACTAAAAAAGAAAATTGCAAACCAATATCCCTCATGAATATAGATGCAAAAATTCTCAGCAAAATTCTAGCCAACAGAATTCAACAGCATATCAAAAAAATAATACATCATGATCAAGTGGGATTCATATCAGGCATGCAAGGATGGTTCAACATTAGAAAATCAATCAATATAATTCACCACATAAATAAAACAAAAGAAAAGAATCACATGATCATCTCAATTGACACAGAAAAGGCATTTGGTAATATCAAACCCCCTTTCCTGATAAAAACTCTCAGTAAAATGGGAATAGAAGGGAAATCCCTCAACATAATTAAGGGCATATATGCAAAACCAACAGCCAACATTATTCCCAATGGAGAAAGATTGAGACCATTCCCCTTGAGAACAGAAACAGGACAAGGATGCCCTTTACCACCACTCTTATTCAATATTGTACTGGAAATTCTACCTAGACCAATAAGGCAAGAAAGGGAAATAAAGTGTACCCAAATTGGAAAGGAAGAAGTAAAACTATCCTTATTTGCAGATGACATGATCCTATACATAGAAAATCCCAGAGGCTCCACAACAAAGTTATTGGAACTAACAAAAAGATTCAGCAAAATGGCAGGGTACTAGATTAACACACAAAAATCAGTTGGGTTCCTCTACACTAACAAGGAAGACTCTAAAAAGGAAATTAAACAAACAAAAAATACCATTTACAGTAATACCCAATACGATAAAATACCTAGGAATAAACCTAACCAGCTATGTAAAATACTTATACAAGGAAAACTATAAAACACTACTGCAAAAAACTAAAAGAGATCTATGTAAATGGAAAAACATTCCATGCTCATGGATTGGAAGACTTAACATTGTGAAAATGTCAATACTACCCAAAGCGATCCATACATATAATGTAATCTTGATCCAAATCCCAACAACATTCTTTAATGAAATGGAAAAATGAATTTCCAACTATATACAGAAAGGAAGGAGCTCTGAATAGTTAAAACAATATTGAAGAAGAACAAAGTAGGAGGCCTCACACTTTCCGATCTCAAAACTTACTATACAGCCACAGTAATCAAAACAGCCTGGTACTGGTTCAATGACAGACATATAGACCAATGGAATAGAATTGAGAACCCAGAAGTTAATCCATCCATGTACAGGCATGTACAGGCAGCTGATCTTCGACAAAGGGTCAAAATCCATTCAATGGGGGAAGAAACAGTCTCTTTAACAAATGGTGCCAGCAAAACTGGATATCCACATGCAAAAAGATGAAAATCAGGATCCATACCTCACATCGTGCAAAAAAACTAACTCAAAAATGGATCAAAGACCTAAATGTTAAAGCTAAAACTATAAAGTTCATGGAAGATAACATAGGGTCAAAACTAGGGGACCTAATCTTCAGCATAGTCTA